CTGGGGTCTGCTGTGGGGTTTTGCAGCCGCCTCCTCTTGCTGAGGCTGGCGGTTCTCAGCCTGCCTGACCCAGACACCCCATCATTTCCTTCTCTCCCCTCTAATTACACCGTCTGAATCACCCACATTAAGGCCATCGCCCTTTGCCGCCTGCCTGGCCGCTGTGCCCCGCACCATGACCCAGGGGGCCACCCCAGCCGCAGCACCCTGAGTCCCGCATGCCCACCCAGTCCCACCGGGATGCCCCGGCACCGCTGTGCCTCCCTGGCCACCCTTCACCGCATCGGCCAGCCCCACCCTGCCGCCCCGTGAGTTTTTGGTTTCCCAATGTAGGAAGGAGCCCAAAGCTGTGCCAAAACCCCCACGGGGGTATCCGACTCATCCTGCTTTGCCGGCACCTCCACCGGGAATAAAGCCGCCCGTCCTGCTGCTGGGAGGGCAGAGGTGCTGCGTGCTTGGCACGGTAAGGACGGATACGGGCTCGGCACCTTCAGCTGCGAACTGGGAGGGCCTGGGATGTGCTGGGACGAGCTGGGATGAGGAGTCACTCCCTTACTCCGACCGTGGGGGCTGCAATCAAGTTTAAGATCGCAAAACAGCCTGGGGTGCCAGCGGTGGCGGCTGGGGCTGGTGGGCGATGGAGACGTCCCAGCGGGGAGCGGAGCTGGGCGAACCCAGGGGCTGGCAGAGGTGCTGCCAGGCAGATTCACCGCGGCAGGATGGGTTTAGCTTACCCTGGGACCGGCAAGCCAGCAGACAGCCCATGCCGGCTCTGCGGGTTGCTCTGGGCGGTGCCCACCGTGGCACGCTGTTGCACGCCAGGACTTAAGAAGGACCTACATGGCTTTTTTTTGCTCTATTCCCAAATCCAAAGCAGTTTTCCAAGTTCGTCTCCCATCACTGCATCCCTGTGGCTCAGCATCCCTCCCAGCAGGATGGGGATCATGGCGCTGGCACTGTCCCTGCTGGTCGTGGCTCTCCCACGCCCGGCCACTGCCATGCTGCGCATCGGCGCTTTCAACATCCAGGCGTTCGGAGACACCAAGATGTCCAACGAGGAAGTGGCGGGCATCATCGTCAACGTGAGTGCAGCCGGGGATGGGCTCTGCACTCAGTCAGACCCAAAACGTGCCTCCTGTGGCTCCTGTGGCAGGGGCGGCTGGGGGTGGGGGCCCCGGGGGGGGGGATGCCCTGGGTGGGTGAAGGCTTGGTGGGGACCAAGGTGGGATGTGAGGCGCACCCCGCAGTCCCTCTGAGCCCTCTGTGGGGACATCTGCCCCGACGCCGAGGGATATGTGGGTCCCCGTGGTACTGCACCCAGCACTGCATCAGGGTGCCCAGCCGGGAGATGGGTGGGAGAGGAGAGGGTGGCGCCGAGCCAGGAGCAGGCTCGCTCTCACCATCGCCATCCCTCTCGGCCCCACAGATCCTGCAGCGCTACGACGTGGCACTGGTGCAGGAGGTGCGCGACTCCGACCTCAGCGCTGTCACCCAGCTCATGGAGCATCTTAACAGGTACGAGCAGGGCCGGGGCTGAGAGCTCACGGGCTAAGATGCCAGCATTAGCAGGGAAAGCCAAGCTGCCTGAGCAATAAAAGGCCAAAAAAAGTTGTCCATCGGCAGAAGGTTTGTTTTTGGAAAGGGAAATGGGAGAAAAGTGCTGGGGCTGAAGCTTTCAGCAGGCGCTGAAAAAGCCACCGGGAATAATCCGGGGAGAGGAAGGGGGATACAAGTGGCACAAAACCCCTCCGAAAGCTGCAATCCCACTGGAGTGCACAGGATGGAAAGGAACTACAGCTCTGGCAAGCTCCGTCTCCAAAATCCAACAGGACAGGGCAGAGGTGAGATGGGGGATGAAGGGGGCAGGGGCAGGCAGCCCCCCGCACCCCAAGACCCTGTGAGTGGCAGGCTGACCCCGGGATGGACCCAGCGGCAGATGATGCTCTGAAACGAGCGGCTCAGGCACCCCAGGAAGAAAAGGGGCTGCTGGGGCGGGCTAAAACTGGCCACCGTGGGGTGGCAGCCCCTCCACCGGCTGGGTGCTGACACCGTTTTGGGTGAGGGCACGGGCAGCCCCTCTGCCAGCTGGGTGCTGACACCGTTTTGGGTGAGGGCACAGGCCGGGCTGGGGCCGGGCGGAGGCTTGTTGCTGCCTTGTTGAAAGGCAGCGAGTGCTCCTGAGCAGGTACGCCCAGCCCACGTCCTCGCCCTTTCGGTGCCCCCTCCAGCACAGCCACAAAGCAGCCAGGGCAGGGAGGGTGACGCCAGGCTCCGCGGGGCCCCGGGCTGCTCATTAACCTAATTTAGCTTTGCTGCAAATGAAGGTGGGGAGCGTCCATGCAGAAAAAGGGGTGGCAGGAGCCACCCCGCGTCCTAGTCTCCAGAGAAGTTAGTGTTCATCAGTCAGTGAGCAGCCCTTTCAGCCATGAAGGGTGACCTTGGCAGAAGGTCCTGGAGACCACGGAATTAATTGAGAAAGTTTTAATAAAGTCTGGTGTATGGAAAAAAAAATAATCCATATGACTAGTGCATTGTTTGCTGGTGACGATACGTTTGGCAGATACCTATCCTGTTACAAATTCAGATACCAAGTTCATTGCCGAGCTGTGCTTTCAGGGTAGATTTGATGACACGCTAGAGAAAGGCGTCTTTGGAAATTGTTCTTTGATATATTCTGAAAGATGTTTTGGAGTTTGACAAAAGTGTAGGATCGCTTAACGGGAGTCTGTTGTATTTAGCCAGATGCTTTCTTGGAATAGCATTTTTCCATGGCATCATAGTTACAGAAGTGGTTGTGAGTACATTCACTAACTCATGTGGCCTGAATGAGTTTTCTTAATGAAAAAAATAGCCTTACACGTTGATTCTGTTTGCTGTTGTTCCTTCAGTCATAGTTTGTTGTTCGTGAATGCTCTGATAACTCTCCACATCTTTGAATTCATTGAGCCTAAAAAAGGGGACAGAGGAGAGATATTAGCGTGGTTGTAACTTCCTACACAGGCATGGCTAAGCTTCAGGACGGGCTTGGAGCTCCTTAGGTAACACTATGGAAGTACAAAGGGCTAGCATACACAAATAGCGTACCTGGGGTGTCTTTCCGCAGTGATCGCATCATGTAC